AAATTTGTTTATCGGTAAAATATACCGAATGAAGAAGATGTGGGGTAGAGGAAATAAAAGTTCCAAAATTAACAATGCAATTACTAATTTTATTTCTTAAAAAGCAATTATTGTTATCGTTATAATTATCCCGGGTAAAATTTCCCGGTTCTAAACACGACTCCATCATTACGACTCAATAAAATTGGTCGCGCCCCGCCATTTTGAGTGTGAAGAAGATGATGTTGTTGTAGCAATAATTGTTGATGAGAAGAACTTCCTCGTCTGTTATTAGACATAGAACTATTCTCGGTGACATCCGAATTTTTGTGGTTGTTTTGGTTTTCCCCACCAAAAGGTGATAACAATTCATCGGGTAACCAGCACACCAAACATTCACGTGATCGGAATTCAGTTCTTGGACTCGGCAAATCGCCAAACCATACCGTCAAATCACGGGTGAAGTTTTCTCCGTACATAGTGATGGTATTGGATGTAGTTGAGGAAGCTGATGATGACGAGGAGGATGTGGTGGTGGCTGTTGCTGTTGTAATATTGGTAACAATTGGAATGGGAGTGACAGGGGTAGATGGTGGGGGTGGTGGAATTTGATGTTGTAAATGATGATGGCAATTTCCAGATAGTGATGTAGATTCTAATTGTCGCGTAACGATTGTCGGTGGCGAATAAAATGTATACGTCGCACAATCTAAAAAATTAATATGAATTAGTCACTATCAATAAACATATAAATAAATTCGAAAAGAAAAAAACCTTACCAGTTCCTACAATAGTCCAGACTGCCGAATCAGTAACATCTTCGGTCCAAATAGCCCCAGCATTGTCATTTACATTTCGAGCATTGCTATTATTCGTATTTCCTCGTCCATCAGTAACAATTCTTGCCAAATCCACCTCACTAGCCACACCACTCAAACTATTAACTCGTCGTCTATTCTTTATTGATTTCGAGACAGGTGTAGTAGGTTTCACAGCGACTGACGTTGAAACACGTCGCTTGCGAATAGCTTTACCACCTTCCGATTGTACAACTCGAGATTCGCTCATTGATGCCGCGGAAGCAAAGTTCCAAGCAGCCGCGATTTCTGGAGTGTAATCGGTGTTTGTCGTAGATGATGGCATTGATGGCGAGTTAATCATCATATCAAGAAAAGTGCTATGGTTGAGAGTAGTGGTAGTAGGTGTAGAAGGTGCAATCATTTTTCGACCTTCGTTAGCACGTTGCATTCCGACGACATCACCGAGACATGCCAAATATGTGCCCGGTCCAGGTGGATGTGTTTGATTTGGGGAAGAAAACATTTGCGAGGCATTTGCCGCATTAGTATCTTTGATTTGGAAAGCCACCTTATGCAATTGTGATACTGGATCGCCAAGAGCTAGAAAATATAAAAATTGTCAATTTACTTACTCTCTATATATATATCTTACACCACTAATAGCAATATTCCCAAAAAAGACAAACCTTCTTCGCCGTCTCCATACATTCCAATATTATCCAAGAGTCCACCGCCAATCACATTACTACCTTTATCAACCTTACGAATAACCATTACGGGACTTGTCATACCAGTTGTCAAGCATTGTAACACAACAGGTTGATTATAATGAATAGGGATCGGTGTACTGGAGTTAGCCTTGATGGCTGATGGTGGTGGTCGAGGATAATTTGGATACATCGACTGCTGCTGCTGCTGCTGATGGTGTTGATGGTGGTGGTGATTATGCTCATCTTTTTCACAGTTTTTCACATAATTGGTGTCAACGATCCAGATAATGAATGGATCCCAACTTCCGGTACGCGCGACAAAACAAGGAGAAGGTTGTTCCATAGTTGCAACACCGCCGCTGTAACTCCACTGAGCATAATTTTGACTCGCGCTATGCATTGACACGCCAAGATATTTGGTGGAGACGGTTTGTGATCGAATTCGATTAAATAATGAAATTGTAGTGCCGTGATGAATGCATAATTCCATATTCTTTACGCTTTGCCGTTTTTTACTTGGTTTGCTGATAACTTTGATTGGTTTGCTCGGAAAAGTACCAAAATTGTGGCCAAGTGGACTTACGATCTTTACCAACACTTCGACACGTTTTCTTTTTTCATCCGCATCGTTAATGTATAAATGCTTAGATACACATTTTCCGCTGAAAGCCATTTCCGAACATGCTGATGGATCAAGAGGATTTCCAGTTGGACTAATCCACTCTAATATTCCTTGTTGATGCCCTTGTTCGCCTGATATGCCCACGGTAATTTTTGGGGCGCTAAGTGTAGTAGTGGTGGGAGCTGTTGCTCCATTACCAACAATTCCATCAGAAGTAGTAGATTGAGATGGGGTCCACCAGTTTGAACCTAAAATCAATGTAGTCGGTGGAGGGCATAGGAATCTAAGAATAATAAGTTGGTTGGTTAGTAAAGTTAATTTCATTTGATGACAATCTCATTGTCATCAATCATAGTGTTTACCTCTTTTCGGTTCCATATGATTTCTGAGCAACTTTTGAAGTCAATACCATAACGGTTTTTTCACCCAAAGAAGCAGGATTAGATGAAGATAAATACTGCTGAATGGTTGGTTTCATCAATTCAACTGAATTAGTCAAATTCAATGGAATCGAAGAAGACAACACCGAAACTCCGTTCATATTCATGTCCGGGTTGATTGATGATAACGCGTCTTCGTCTTCCTCTAGGATAGTCGGAGAAATAGAGACCCGACGACCATATGTGGTGGTAGGTGTATGCGGCGGAGAAGGAGATGATGCCGAGGGAGGCGAAGGATAAAATTCTTTTGGAGTTTCAGGTGGTGACAAAACGGGCGTTGTCACTGTCTGTTCATACTTTATATTTGGTGGAATTGACATGATACTACTTCGTCGACGCATGGGAGTTATTGGAGCATGATGTTGACAATCACTATCAACAAAGCCATTAGCACTGTCTTGCTGCTGTCGTGAAATTTTTCTGTTGAAATAATCGGCACGGGTATCCATATCCTCAGCAGAATTGGAATCCATAATTGCATTTGGTGGCGTTTGAGTAAGCAGTTCAGTGAAAGTAGGTTGTGGACTAAAATGCTGATCTAATGTAGAAATGGCAGCAGGTGTAACAGTCGTGAGATTGTCCATAATCTGATCCACAGAAAAAATAGATCCTCCAGAAGTAGCCGCAGCAACACTATCGTAATTTGATGTTCTCGATGAAGATGGTGACAAAGCGGTGGTAGCGACTTCAAAAAGAGACGTATCAATTGATAGATTCGAATCAATTCCAGCGACACCAAATCCATTATTCATAATTTGATTGTTAACATCGGCGAGAAAATCCGAATTAGGAAGGAATACGGGAGCTGATGCTGATAAAGTAACAGTAGCGGATGATGAGGGAGTATCAGGTGTGAAATTGAATTCAGCTGACGATAATTGATAATAACTGGATGGTGATTGTGTGGCGGTGGTGTCAATGTTTAACTGAGTTAAATTCTGTCTGCGATTAATTAGACGCGAAGATTCTTGTGCATCCTTAATAGAAACTTGTTGGGTGTTTTGGGCAGCTTGTTGATCTTTTTTGGCTTGTGTTGATCGAGATGATTTTCTTTTCGGTTTCGTCTCTGATGACGATTGTTTTTCTTGATTGCTTAATTGCTCTCTTGATTGTTGTGATGTTTGCGTATTAATATGAAATTGGTTTTGTTGTTGCTGCATTTTATTAGTTTTATCTTGAGCAGCGACCGTGGCGTTAGCGACAGCCAATTGATCAAGAAGATTAGTTTGAGGCTTAAAGGTTTGATGCGAGCAAGGATAATTAATCAGGCCACCATTTCCACCATTAGTGTTAGAATTCGATTTCATTATCAATTGATATCCGTTACCAATACTTTTATTATTACAATTGTTGTATGAAGAAGATGGCGGAGGAGATGAAGACGATGGCGATGTTAATGGTGAAGTGGAACTAGAAGTAGAAACTGGTGATGGGAAATTTGCCGGGGCCAATTGTTGATGGGATTCATGACCAGTACCAGTGGTGCTGGTCATGATTACATCACCATACGTTAGCAATGGAGTCGTGCTAGCAGACATGTTTGGAGATATATTGCCATTATTATATTCAAAGGATTCCGAGATCGTCTCATGAACTCCATTATTACTGTCACTATTTCCACTACCATGATCAACATTAACATCACCACCATTTGTTGTGAAATCTTGAGGCAACGCAAAAGCTGCAGCCGCAGGATTGAAAGAATTCGTGTATAGATAGCCAGGAAGAACGTGATTATGATAATTATGATAGGAAACTAGCGCATCAGATGAGATATTTGCGGCAGCCCTGCAAGCTTCATTCCATTCTTGTAGACTCATAGATGTTGCAGATGATGGTGACGATGAAGAAGTATCATTATCATTACTATCAATATTATTATGTCGAGAACTGCTGTTGTTGCTGCTGGTGCAGGTATCTGAAGTAGCGGCAGCAGATAAAGGCGGAGAGAATGATGGCGATGGAGGATTCGACCTTACATAGTCTGACCACACCGCTGTAGGAGGTTGAAAGAGATTTTGATTTGCGTTCATCTGGCAATTATTCAACTGTGAGTGTGGATGATATTGGAGTTGCTGCTGCTGTTGTGGCATATAAATTGTTGATGAGGGCGAATTATTATTTTTTTGATGGAGTAAATAGAGTTCAGTAGATGAAGATAAAGAAGCAACAGGAGAACAAGAATTCGCCAAAGTGTAATTCTGGTGATATTCTTGCGGGAGCGGTGGTTGTTGTTTACGCTTTTTGGACGGCAATGTGGCGGCGCAGTTATTATATACTCCGGTTATCCCGCTAGTGCTATTGTTAGTAATAAAAGAGCTAGTATTGTTACAACTGTCGTGGATGTTATTGTTACCGTTATTATTATTATTATTGTTGTTGTTATTAGTATTGCCATTGATAATGTGTGGTTGTTGTAGCATGGAAGTAGTATTCGTAGTCGACATTGAAAAATAATGTTGGTGAGGGTGGTGTTGCTGCATTACTGTTTGGAATGAACAACTATTTCCATTACTACTACCATTATTACTAACACCAAACATATCTGTCGTCGTCGTTGGATACGTGGAAGTCGACTGTGTCATTTTGGTTTTTTGTTGTTGTTGCTATATATATATCTATATATCTATATATATATATGTATATGTGAATAATTTTATATGCAGAATTGTCGTAAAGGTTGGTTGTCGTACTCGTATACTTGGTTGTATTATTATTTTATTTAGGTTCTTATTTATTCTATTATTGTTGTTTATTGTTGTGTTAATGTTATTGATGTATTGATTCTGTTTTTCGTTTTCGGGTGAAAATTGGGAAAAAAGTTAGTTTATTTAGTTTATTTATAATATTATTATATATATGTGTGATAATGATAATTTGATGATGATAGCGGTGATGATGTTCAGTATAAAAGTTGAATACGTAAAAATAAAAATTCAAGGAGGTGTGTTTGTTATATATTACATAAATGTATCATGTTGCTGCTCTTTCAGTTCGGTTGTTGAACAAATTGATCGTAGTAGTTGTTTCTTGTATGATAAATAAAATTTAAAGTTATTGAATGGTGATACTTTTAAATAAAGTTTCGTGTGTGTATATGTGTATAGATGTATATACATACACACACATATGGAGTTGTATGTGATTTTGCTAAAGTGATTAGGGAATGGAAGGTAATGAAATAGAGATCAAGTAAAGAAGGTTTGGTGATCCGAGGGTCTTATTATACAATAGAATTTATATGCATAATAAAAGTGATAAAAATGAATGTGATAATGAAAATGAGGGTATATATATATATATATATATATATATATATATGTTATACTTTAATTTCTTAATGTTTATTGCTGGTAATTAAATAAATAAATCTAAATGAGCTAAGCTAGTAAATCATCATCGTCATCACCACCACCACCACCATCATCAATCATCCAATGATACAAAAATTCACTTTAAATAATGATATTCTTTATTTTTATTGTTTTTTTTTCAATAATGAAAGATGATCCAAATTAGAAAAAATCAAAGAACAATTAATCCAAAAACTTACTTGTTTTTTTTTTTGCAAACGTTTTAATATCAATCCAACCGGTCAATAAAATTAATTAATTAATCAGTCAATGAATCGATTCCTCCGTTCAACTAACGAATCCGTGTCGCTTCTTGATCTTCTTCTCTCGTTTATAGTAATTTTTTATAGGAATTTTTTTCGATTACTTTGATTACTTGGCGACCGGTAGTAAACGTGAATTGAGGTAGTTTAAGGATGTGTATGAATATGACGACGACAATATAGAAAAGGTAATGTCCGAGCAAAATAAAATCGTGATATTTTTTTGGTATATATAATTTTGAATTTAAAAAATTTAAAAATATGTACAAATTGAAAGAAAAAATACGTATAATGTTGAATTTTGGAAGTTCGTAAAAATAAAACTTTTTTTTGAGATTTAAGAAAAAGTATGAAAAACGTAACGTCGTCGTCGTTTTGCCGTGGTTTTGTGAATGTCGTCAAGCGTTTTATTGTTATTTTTTTATGAGAATACGAGAGCGAAAGGCAACGAACAATGAGAAGGAAGAAGGACGAGATTTTTTTAACGGGCGAAAAAGCTGGAAAAACCTTGAGGTAGATATATATATCTAATGACTATTTTGATAGTATAAATAATAATAATAATAATAATAATAATAATAATAATAATAATAATAATAATTTTAATAATAATAATTTGTTAGCATAATATATTATATATGTATATCATAAATATTCACAATAATTTATTATATGCGCGCTGACACACAAGTTTTCTATTATAAAAATAATGTAATAGTTCAGGAGAAACAAAACCGGTTGATGAAATAATGGAAAATTTGCTAGATTTTGTGTGTGTGTTGATATACATTAGAGTACATATAGTACAACAAAATACATGGAAAATACTGGATACAAGATTTTTGCTTAAAATTAAGAGACAAGAATAATGGCAATATATTAATGAGAAAATTCAAACGAACAGGTTTATTTACAAAAAACAGTTTCGCGTCGTTTTCGGAGTATATTTTTTAAAGTATATCACGATAGTAATTGATTAATAGTCGTTGTCGTCGCCGTTGTCGCCGTTGTCGCCATCGTTATCTTTCTGGTAACAAAGTTTTGGCGGCAGTAAACGTCACAATTTTTTTTGGTTTAGTCTGTTGATGTTGCTCGGGTAACTATCGATAAGCGATAATGATAAGCGATGATATGACGATGACGATGATGATATTTATGGTTTTTTTATTGTGATGATTGATTTTTTTTTATGGCGTAATCTTTTGCAATCCATTTTGAATCGGGATTGGAATTCGGGATTAGAGTTAAATCGTATATAACTATGCATGGGTCTAATTTTATTTGGAAAAACCCAATGTCAAAAAGCACAAGCGTTAATTGAAATTTTCCCTTGTTTTCATAATCAATCATTTTTTAACCCAACCTGTTATGTCGCATAATAATAACCTTCGTACAATGAATGCCAGAAATCATTAGCCATTAAGATTAAAATTCAAAAATGTAGCATGAAGATTAAGACGTGACATTTAAGCGTGCATGTTTTCGGTATGAAAAATGGGGGAAGAGCGAGAGATTTTTGTGAATTAGACCCTGTTTTTAATTTCGAAAAATTACGTCAGTAATTATAAATAAAAATATTGTTTGATAAATAAACGATAGATAGATAAAGGTGTTCTCGTCGAGCATGATGAATAAATTACTGGGCACACACATTTACATACCGATACATACGCACACACACACACAAAGTAAAGGTGGGGTAATCAAAATGAAATTGGAGGACGATAGGCTGGAGGTGATGGCTGGATGGGTAAATGCGGTCATGACCACAAGATCACGATATCAATAAGAATGCAGCAATGAACAATAGCGATCGACAAAAGACGTATGTTATTTACGTTATTAAGTAAGTACGTATTTAAGTTGGTAACCTACATGGCGTGTGTGTGCATACAATGGAATGGGTATCGCGCTCCTTTTTTTTTTTTCGTTTATGATTAGTTCCGATGTGGTCGGAAGATTAATTGAGAAATTACATCGGTTGTCACATAATTAATAATATATGATTTAAAGACTCGATATTATTAAAGTTCTTTGTTAAATTATGATTGTTAAATGTCATCATGTGGAAACAACTCCGTTTAAACTTTATTTATTCACTTCTTTTTATGTTAACACTTTTTATTAAGAATTGTCACTCCAAGAAATAATGTGTGTGATATCACAATCTAAAGATTGCTAGAATATTCGAGAAACCACTAATTGATTTTATCAGAAAATCAAATACATAATAATGCATACATCCTGGGTAGTTTTCGTAATAATGATTCAATATTTGTCTTCGATGATATAAAAAGTAATCAGCCTCAATGTGAATCATTTTTTGCCTATTTTTGACAGAAATCAAGTGATCTGTCGAACAAACTTTTTCATCGATCATTCTGGTATGTCTTGATCATAAAATCTGCGCGTATGCACGTGAGGTGATTTATTTATTGTTTGTTGGTTTATTTATTGTTTGTTAGGTCATTCATCTTCGTGATGTGTCAATGTTGAACCTTATTTGTTTTGGATCATATGTAATAAACAACAATTAATTAACAGGATAGCGAATCAAAATCTCAGAATGAAATTCTTCTTTCTTTAGAAAATTACCCGACAAGTCACATCCTCTAGGCTTATCTTGGATTTCATCGCCGTCGTGTACGTGTATTGTGGGAAATGTGTATAATGAAAAGTGTGTGAGTGGAAATGTGAGTTTCCGAAAAAAACATAGTAACTTTGATTTATAAAAAAGAATCAAAGAATGGTTTGTATGAATCAACATGACCTGTAACAGCGAGAATGAGACACAATATGTAAACATCTAAAATGAAAATTAACATTGTTTATTTGTTGACAGATGCACAAAAGTAAATCCCAAATAACTTTAAAAAGAATCAATGCAGAAATTAAACCGGTTCTTCAACATGTATGCTGATTATTTGGTAAATGGTTGTTTGGTTTATGCTCATTAACAAATGATAACGTGTACCTTGTGTTCGCGTGTTGTGTTGTTTTATTCTTGTTTTGAATCCTTGTGTTCATGGTAATTACTGTAAATAAATATCACATCACAGTTCCTATTATCAGATTACCTAAATAAGAAATTAGTACTGGGATTATCAATAGGGATGGGATCAGAATTTGGGGCTATAAATCATCATTTCTTATCGGATATTTATGTAGTTTGTCATTCAGTTATGGAAAATTGATTTGGCTTCGATTTTTTTTTGTAATTTTGAGAAGATTTGACGAATTGGCTTACCTACGAAAGAGAAATCGGCCGAGTAATAATAACTGAAATATTTCCTGAAACGTAGGCTCACTTTATTACGTACTTACGAACAGTAACGACCATAGGTATCCGAACGCCCGGCGTTGCCCAAAATTATACTATAACGATCACCCAAATTTTCTAGGGGTAAATGCAATACGACACCTGATCGTTTGTACATTTATAGATTCTATGTCGGATATTGTATGTTCATAAACTTTCATGTCCCAAAGACAATCGATCCAATTTGAATAAAAATGCTAAATACTATTCGATTTGTATCGACTAGGCGAATCGAATGGTATTATTTTTGTTCGAATCGGATCACTGGATGCTGAGATATTACGTCCTAAATTAGTCGAGTCATTTTTTTGGTGATCAGTTTCTAATGAAAAATTAGGTAGTATCTCGACTTCCAGTGGTCTAATTTGAGCGAAAACTTCACCATTTGATTCACTTAGATTAGACAAATCGAATGGTAGTATTTTCGCTCAAATCGTATCGCTGGACGTCGAGATATTATAAAGTGATCGATTTATTGTTATTTGGGGCATGAAAGTTTATGAACATAATATAGAAACTCTAACGCTAACAATCTATAAATATACGATACTATGATCGCTACTGTATATACCACGAAAGTTTTGAAATCGTTAAAATTATGCATGCATGTCATAATCACAGACTGATCAATGCTTACATCAGAACAGTTGTTTGCTCGGGTAACAAATGCAGGCTGCATTTTCTTCATGAACTGTGATAATGATGGTATGGTGATGATAATGGCTAATCGGTAATCCCACTTATCACTTTTTTAATAAGAGTGTCGTTTTTATCGAGAGACGATACGTTAAATGAATGGATATTCGCAGTGCAACGACAATATTAATTCGACCATTTGTTTACTTTTTGCCACTAACTTTATCGTACATAATTAAAGAAACAAAGGCTAGAAAAAAGCTCGATATTAACAAATACAGTTTAGTAAAAAGAAAGCCAAAGTAGAATTAACGTAATCATTCTTTCTTTTTATATACGCATGTGTACCCTTAAAAAAGAGATTTGTTAATTCAATAATGATAATAATAATATTATCAAGAAAACGCCAACGCACTGACCAATAACTTTTGCCATTTGTATTACCAACTAGAAGAAAAGAACGACGCACATACCACATCCACAACCTGTTTCTCTTCGCAGACATGTGGTTCGGAGGAAATCAGCTTACAAATTCATGTCACCACAAGCAATAGGTGATGCTTTTATTTGTACTATAATGCCGAACAAAGCACACAACGAAAAATCCTTTTGATCCCCCAAAAATCGAGGTGCCAAGAAGGAATAAACTCGGGTCCTGGATCGTAGGTTTTTTGCACAGATTATCAATGCATACACATAAGATCAACAGCAGATCTTTGTTGCAACAATGATAAATTTTTACCATGTAGAAAGTTAGTCATCAACAAACGAATCTTTCTACCAGTTAACACAGGATATGTCCGCCATGTAGATGTATATGTAAACTCTACGAAAATCATGTGTAAATGAAACTTGCATTGATTCCGTTTTGCCTTATTAATAAGAATGAGTAATGCATAAATGAAGGCTTTGAATATGAAAACTACTTTTTTTTTATTTGCGTATATCGACATACAATAATTTATTTGACAGAATAAATAAACGATCTATTGGTTTTTTCTACTAAATCGAGCGAATCGGTACTACAGTGCGGGTCACTTAGTCATCACACAAAAAAAACCATTTCTTGAGAAAAGCATCAGTCTTTGACATTTCTGCTGGGTTTTTGTGCATAGCTAACTTGTTTCTCGAGTCTAATACGACAAAATCCTGCTCATAACTAGTTCTATAATGCATTAGGCATATTAGCATTTATCTAATTGTGGTATGTCAAAAAATAAACAAAAAATATCTTTCTTTGCATACAAGCCTGAATTGTTATTCAAAACTTTCTTTTTGGAGAGCACGTGATAATATTAACATGTGAATGAGATAATGCACAAAAATGAATTTATGTACAAGAAAATCTCTCGATTTATAATCTTAGCGTTAGTATCAAAAAAAGATAAGCTCGATTAGAACGTCTGTACAAGGAAAACAAGTTCACGGAACCTAGAGAAATCTAACATAGAAAGCTTTATCGTTATCAGATTCGTATAATGTGTGTTACTGTGCATAATCGATGATAATAAAGAAACTTTTGTTGGAATTACAGAATTTTATTTCCTCTTGTGCTATCGTTATGATATTATTTATCGAAAATAAAATAAATAATATACAAGATATAAAAAGGCCTTTTATGGCGTACTAAAAAAAAAACGTTCTATATACAGTCTAGTTGCTCGCCACGCCCTGCCACAAATGAGTAAATTATCTAATTTTTGTAATTACCAATTTTGTGATTCAAAGTTTCCCGCAGAAAATTTTTTGAATAGATAATAATTGTAAACCTTATTTTGTCTATTATGGTATTCACAAATCAAAGTGCATGTTCTTATCATCATCGTCGAAATGTTATGCACATGCACATCTCCACATGAAGTCATGCAGGAAAATGACAGTCAACTGTTAAAAAAAAACTCTAATTTTATAGTCACGTGATAATCACATATTTTCAGAGCAAGTTTTTCTTAGCATTCTATTGGCTTATGCGTATTTATTATACGATGTTCAGAAACCAATAGAAATCTAGAAAAACTTGCCCTGCGAGTTTAGGTATTTATTATACGATGTTCAGAAACCAATAGAATCTAAAGAAAAACCTGCTTTGTGAGTTTTTAAGCATTAAACGATGTGAGAAATAGCCCAAATTGCATACGAATTAGTGTGATAATGATTTTTTAGATAAGCGGAAGATTTTTCGCCAAAAATTTTAATGTGATAATAATATAAAGCAATACAAGTGACTCTTGTTATAGTAAAGGCATCCGGACTATTAGTAAAAATTTACTATAACGAGAGGATTTAGTATGGACTGCTTTGGACTGAACTTTACTACAGTAAAACCTCTCTAAGTGCATCCTCTATAAATGCACGTAATATATATATAAATTCTCTCTAAATGCCCAGTATGGCTTGATTCCAAGTTATATCAATATATATTTTTACTCTCTATAAATGCACACCCTCTATAAGCGCACACTCTGCCTGTTTTTTTTTTTACTATGGTTTCAAGGGGAGGTGCACTTAGAGAGGTCTTTAGTTTACTATAACGAGAGTCACTTGTAGCAATTTTTAAAACCCATCCTCATTGACATACGTGCTTTAAATTGATCAGTCAAAATTAAATTAATTAATTAACTCATACAAGTCTGGTCGTTCGTTGTTGTATGCTAATGTTTGCACCTAATTAATAGATGAGTTAATTAATTAATTAACTCGTACAAGTCTGGTCGTTGTTGTATGTTAATTAATAAACGGGTTTAAACAAGAGATTGATTGTCTAGGTATGCTATACCGTAATTTGTCGCATACCGGGATCTGTTACATTTCACCGGAAACTTTAATTAGTAAAAAAGAGTGCTACCATGAAGAGGTGGTTTATGCGGCCAATTACGGTACAGTGCGCGCATATAAACAATGAGAATTTATTTGGTTCTAAACTTAAGAAGTTTATCGTTATTAGATTGATTATGATTTAAAATATTAGATAATTTTTGCAAAAATTAGCAAAATATTAAAGCAAGTTCATAACATAACAAAGATAGTTTGAAATATTTAAATAATTTGACCTAAACCTCTTAATTATTTTATGATATATATAAAAATAAAAACACATTTTAAAGAATGTAATTATTCAATAAAACCAAAATTACGGCGCGTATTGTATGTGAATCAATAGATGAAGGCGTGAATACGAAATCAGGGTATATGAATTGATAAATATTTTTAGTGACTAGAATTATAAAGGACCCGAATCTCTCGAGCGCTTTTGCTTATCCAATCAAGTTATTTTGCCAAACCATAAGGTTACGATGAATAATAACTTTTCGCTCGAATATATTGTATATGTGCAGGGTTACACATAATATATCTCCACCATCGCAAAATCACAAATATAGAATTGTAACGGTAAGACAAATAAATACAGCGGTTTGACGGCTTGGCTTACAAAAAAGTTAATATATATCGTCACCGGCACTATTATTTGCTCGACAATCCGGTTATCACGCCGTCATTATTCTATGATGACGATTATCATTTGAAAAAAAAAATGCTAAACAAACATGGAAGATAACACCATTAACTATATCGATATGCGTGAGTAAGTAATTATTTTAATTATTACGTTATTATCATTATTATCGTAATATGGAATGGACATGAATGAAAGAAGAAAAAGAGATGTTCATCAAATCATAAACAAGGGACTATTTCTAAACATGGTTCTTGCGTTATTTAGCCCCCTCGTAAAGAGACCTGACTTATGTCAGTAATGCGATGTGCAATGTTATGTATGTGCGGATGCATGTATAATGCGTGTTCGGTGTTTTATCTCCATTTATGTATGCGTTTTGGTTGCAAGAAATCTTGGGATAATAAAAAGTATAATTCGAGACAAAAGAATATAACCAAGATTACATTGTTATCACAATATTTATTTCTATTATCGAGAAATTACGAGAAAAATTAGGACGCCGGTTTTGGTAGATTGCGCTGCGTTACGCCAATGCTTCGTTTCATTGTGGTGGTGTTATTTTTAATCTAATAAAATCTAATTCCTAATATATTTTATTGCTTATCAGTATACATGCATAATATATGATATGGGAAAGATTACCGAGAATTTAAATATGTATATGCTGGCTGACGTGGAGATAAGCACCAATATTTTGCTTTTGTTTATTTCACGATTATTATTAGTTCGAAAAGGAAAACCGTTATCAAGTAATCATTCTCTTGGTTTTATCCATTACACCGTTTCCACTCGATACTACGATAAAAGAAATAATCTTTGCGGGGTATTATTAGCGTGTATTGTAAATACCATAAGAATTATTTATTTGTGTGTGTATATGTGTGTGTGTGTGATACAATTCAAAGCGGACAATGCACTTAAATGAGTCTACACGTCATTAATAATAAAGAGAAGGAAACAAAGAAATGTTTTTTCTCCTATTTCTGGTTAAGGTACATCCCAAAAAGATCAAGAATTCATTTAGAGACATACATTACGTATTACGTATCTTGTCCCACCTGACGATGGTTTGTGCTTTATTTTAATTCAAAATTCGAATTTATTGGCACGCGAATCGACGGTATGATGAAATTTAGCAATTACACTCATCGTAAAAAAAAAATTAATTCTGCAGGGATAAACAGAAGTAGTTGGTCAGTGATACGACTTCATTGTTTATGTGGGGTAAAAGAAAATGGTTACATTACATATACTTCTTCAAGGTAGACGTCCTGCTATTTTAAGTATCTCTTCAATGTGACATGTTAATATTTCGAAGCATCAATCATTCATCTCATATTGAATGGAAGAAACCACTGTATTGCTTTAAATGCCAAACTGCCATAATTGTAATGAATCATTATAATGAATGGGATGAGTGAGACGACTGGACGATCGTATTGTGTTTGTCCAAAAGGCGTTCATTCAAAATATGCGGTGAATGGAATTATTTCAATAAAACAATTAAAAATCTGAAAAGACATTGTTTGGATTTCATGAATAATTACTATTGTTGTGAATCTTATTTGAGTTGTCTGTAATGTGCGCATTGATCAAACTGGTTTGTATAGGACGCGCGTTTCCTGAAATTCTCCGTTTGGTGTTCGTGCTATTGTAGTCGTCAATAACGAGATCCTTTGCATGAAATTGACCATTATCTCGTAGCATCGGCAATGGAGAACTACTATCTGATGTATATACAGTTAGTTAACCATCTAAATGTACTGTATATACACGGTTATTTTAACTATCTAATTTATATAATATGCTAAAAAAAAACACAGGACCATAATTTAATAGCGATAATGAATGAATGCAGATTTGTTTATTCTTCCAAGAATTGGTTTTTTTGTTTCGATTGTTTTGTTTATCTGTATGTCATAAAAGAGTTTTGAACTATAGATTTGTCTTAGCTTATATATGGATCTACTTTTTGCCTTAGCGTTAGGAGTTTTTTCCAAATAAAGAAAAGAAAACATAATACAATTGGTGATAACTTTACGTGCGTCACGCAACGATCGACTTTAAATCATCACGTCACCCTTTTGGGAAAGGGTGTGAATGCTGATTATGGTATTTTGGGGTGGAACGGGCGGAAAAGGGTTGTATTTACGCTGTCAGAGATTTTATCACCTTGAAATTTAAGTTTGTTATTCAATTTACCATTGCATTCTGCAATAAGTTCGATTAATCAATTAACCGGTATATGTACAAGTATTGCAATTTCAAATAAATTCGAGTACACTGTGTCGATTAAAGACTGAAACTTTGCACATTGAAAATTGAACAATGCACTCAAGGATGTTTTTTCTCACAAACGGTGCGCATACATGCATATTTGGGAATTTTGATTTGACATTTTTCACAAAAATATCTGTATCTAACCATTTTAATCGTCAAGATTTTGTATGATAATATCGGGTCCCAGATAATACATGTATTTATTATTAATTTGAGCATGTAAATATTTTTATCGTTCTTATTGATTGGATATCCTTTTCAAGAATCCAAGAATCATTGTAGAACGTGATGAATTTATTGGTCATCGTGGAAAAACAATAATATGGTCACCACACCATGAATTTTAACAATTGCGCAAACTTAAATTTTCAATTCGTAGATCTCCGGCCTTTATTTCACACAAAATTGTTCATAGTTGAAAGTGTCTGCAGAACAATGTAATCACACATAAAACAGCAAGGTCAACAGAAACTTTCTCTGTTTGTATATTGGCAACTCTTAAAAATCTGCAGTGAGATGTTACGACGAATTTCGAATCTTTTGCCATGCTAACACATGGGCAAGATGCATCGAAGATCTTTGATCATGCAATAGGCGCTTATTAATTTGCTGTGACATTCGAATGTTTTTATTCGGTGTAATATAATCTCAAAAAAAAATCTCGGTTCGTTGAATTTGAACTGGACTTTCTGTATGAATGAACAAGCATAACAATTCAATCAACTCGAGTAAAGCGAACGCAATTGCGAGAACTTTGCTTCCACAAATTAAACATTTCTTTGTGTTTTGTTCAGTATTTTTCATAACTTTTTTTTCGTGGGAACGTACCATCAAACAAATCATCTTTCCAAAGATTGAGCGCTGCCGCACGGGCCAATTTTCCACATGAAATTTGATTCAATCAATTCTATTAATATACGTGTTACAAATAAAGTTCTCAAACCGACGTAAATCGATTGTTTACTAGGTCGAGAACGTGTTCTAGACTACTTTTAATTACAAACATATATACGCTTCTTATAGGAAAATTAAAAAATATCTCTATAGGAAAATTAAAAATTTTTTCTCACACAAGACATGTGTGTATTACAAAAAACATTACAAAATGATGCAATTAGAGAAACGAAACAAATAAGTGAACGAGGAGAGTGAGAGGGTGAGAAAAAAGAAAAACAATCGACAACTTTTTTTTAATAAAGAAACCGTATTTCTTTTTGTTAGATAAGTGCACTTCCCTTATAAGTATTAGGGTTCGGACAGTTTCGGACTCGGAGCGAATTTTGAAAAGTGATAATTTTATCAGAGATTTTTAATTAATAATTAATTAATGTTAAACCGCAATATTATGCGTTGGGATAAATTGATAACGAGGCGAAAACGTGTCTCGAAAAAGATTTTTATTACCGAATCAATAGCCTTGAGTTTAAAATTTTCTTTACGGTAAAAGCTGCTGCTATATTAAGTCAAATAGCATGCTTATAGTAAATTAAACATTTTGTTTTGACTCTACCAAACAACTTTTTTTGTATGATAAACATTATTATTTCTGTTTAAAAGTATTTACATGTACATTGTTGTTGAGTATATTTATTATTTCGGTTATTGGTGAAATTCTCTCTATAATAATCATAACTGTTTTTCTTTCTGTAGGTGAATAGACTTGGGTGTGGATAACTTTAACGATTTCTGATCGTCCTGGACCTGTTGGTCGGTATGTATAACTTCGAGTAATGGTAACTTGTGATGGCATTAATTATGTATAATACAATTTACAGTGGCAATCGAAAATAATGCAACGCCAAAAAAATTTATTAATAAAACTAAGTAAATATACGAAAAATGCGGGTTTTTCTTTTTATATAAAAGTTTTTAATTTTACTAATAAACATTTTTTATTTTTACCTCAAAATGAAGATAATATTGCATATCTTAACATATATTTTTTTCAGATTTTTTAGATTTAATCTGACAAAGTTGTT